TGACCCTATGATAAGGGAGATTCCGCATTTGCCTTTAAAAAGTTAGCTGAAATTTAAGATTTTAGTGAATCGGTTAGCGGATACCGGTAGAAGTTAAAAGAATTTACAGACTATGTTTTAAAATTACTGATTCAGAAACGATGTGAAGTGCAGAATTAAAACCCGAAAACTCTGATTCATTGCGTGCGAGAGCAATTGATCGTCTAAAAGAAAGAAAAATGCCGAAACCAAAAGAGTAACATGATACTCTAACGGGTGATCTTAACCCAATGCTTGAAAACCCACTAAAGGAAAGGAAAAGAAACTGAACAAATTTTAATTGAGCCTTAAAAACAAAAAGATTTGAAGTAGGACGATCAATTAAGCTAGAACAGTAGGCAAAAAGGAAAGAAAAGAAACAAGAGGAGTTGTAAATATCATAATGGCAAATCAACATATAGCATTTCAGGCCATCGTGGAATGCTTACACCATTGCAGCGAAAAATGAAAGCCCAGCGACGGTCTCACCGCCATAAATGTCAATGTAAATGAGACTTATACTATGTTGTAAAAAATATTTGTGCTAAATAGCTTTAATAAGTTTTGTCCAATCAGAAGAATGTGTACCATTTTCCCGTGAATAAACAAAATGATTCCAAAAAGCATGCAAACAAGAACAAAAAGCAGAACTTTATCTGTACACTAACACCCGGAATGATACGATGACCTCATCGCTGTGGAGATTCGTCTCGCTTCCTTTTCTTCGTGTAGGTTGGGGGTAGCGAAGGTATTAAAACTGGATCACACGGCAATGGTCGTTCCTGAAAACATAGCTTATCTGGATGAAGCATAACTTACTCTAATTGTAATATTTTACCGTAAAGAAAGGATGTGCTAGCGCATCTGCTGCGCTGATACGCTTTTTGGGATCGTACATAAATAACGCATTCAGCAGATCAATCGCTGATACTGAAGCTGATTCGAACACCACCTGTGAACACGAGAAATGCATAAAAGAAAAGGAAAAACATAACGGCTTAATTACCTTGACGTTGTTGAAAGGTTGTGTTTTTAACGTAAAATTTTCCAACAGCGGCATCGATTCAAGTTCAGGCCAAATTTTTGTAGTCGGTGTGCCCAAAAGGCTAATGATTTTGTCTATCTGTAATAAAGAACTAACAAAATAGCAGAAAATAAGAAGAACCAGATCATTCTATTTTCCCTTACAGTTCAACTTTTGAAGGAAGGCTATTCTGCTCAAATATGCAGCAATAATATCACAGCAAAAGCTAACTTCTCATGTTTTGACTTCGACAATGCTCTGTCAGGGGTATCTCCATAAAATCATACACTCTCTCACCACATTTTATGACTAATCCCCCGCTCCTT